TAACCCAAGGATCTGGCGCCTGGAGCACCCAAAAAAAGTTTCTCAAAAAAATTTAGGAGGACCTCCATAATGAGTTGGGGAACCTTCAAGTAGACTTACACCATTTTTTTAACGCTAATTTTCGCATTTATAAACCTTTTTTTAAGAACCACCCAAATTTCCCTATTTTTCATGGATATGGCGCCCAGAGCACCCAAAAAAATTGTCAAAAAACTTTATAAGGACCTCCGTAATGAGTTGGGTACCTTCACGTAAACTGACACCATTTTTTAACGTCCATTTTCGCATTTACAATCCCTTTTTTAGAACCGCCCAAATTTACTGATTTTTCGTGTGTATATTAGCTCATGAATCTGGCGCCCGAAGCACCCAAAAAAAATTTCTCAAAAACCTTATGAGTACCTCTGTAATGAGTTGGGGAACCTTCACGTATACTCACACCATTTTTTAACGTCCATTTCCGCATTTACAAGCTCTTTTTGACGAATCGCCCAAATTCCCAATTTTTCCTGTGTAAGCTCATGGATCTGGCGCCCGGAGCACCCAAAAAAAAGTTCTCAAAAAACTTTATGAGGACCTCCGTAATGAGTTGGGGAACCTTCACATTTTTTAACCTCCATTTTTGCATTTACTAGCTCTTTTTTAAGAACCCCCCAAATTTCCCAATTTTTCGTGTATATTAGACCAACGAATTTGGCGCCCGGAGCACCCAAATTTTTTTGAGGACCTCCGTAATGAGTTTGGAACCTTCATGTATACTCACACCATTTTTTAACGCACATTTCCACATATACAAGCCCTTTTTGACGAATCACTTTAAATTTCCCAATTTTTCATGTGTATATTAGCCCATGGATCTAGCTCCCAGAGCACCCAAAAAAAATTTCTCAAAAAACTTTATGAGGACCTATGTAATGAGTTGGGAACCTTCACGTCTACTCACACCATTTTTTTAACGCTCATTTCCGCATTTACGATCCCTTTTTGACGAGTTTTCCTCGATTTTTCGTGTGTATCAATGTGATGAAAAAATATATCGTAAAATATTAGTCAAAGTTTTTATAGTTTGACTGTAAAAAAAGAACTATGACAATTAAAGGTGGACGGAGATTAATATGATATTTAGATTATTTTTAGAAGTATTTATTCTTAAGTATATATGGGGTAACAATAGGTTTAACATAATATATCAGTAATTAAACGTTGAAACAGTTAATAATTCTGAAAGCTTGGAATATACATGATCAACAGTAAAATTATTATGAATATTTTCAAGTAATTAAATGAAAAAAAAAAAGAGATATAATGCAAATTTAGCTATTTGTTTGAATGGCCTTAAATCCATATATTGTTCTAGAACAAGGAAAATGAAAAAAAAAATAGGATTAGTAATGAATTTGGACCAAATTTGCCAAAAGAAAGGCAATAAGAATAGTTGGAAATGTAATGAAAAAAAATTTCTTCCTATCTCCATCAATTTCCACTACTTGAAGTCAATACACACTATTTGTTTGTGCTCTACCTTTCTAGAAACAAGAAATTAGTCTAAGTTTAAGCAGTAATTCCTCCGTCTCATTTTGACTATCGACTTAACTTTAAAATATGAAATTGAGGATCAAAAGTAGCGTCAAAGTACCATAAGGGTTAATCTGATACCCTTTCATTGAAAAAATTATGCTAGATATGTATATATGTAAGGTCAAAAGAAGAATTATGTATATATAATACATGTTAAACCTCTTAGGGGTCGTTTGGTAGAATGTATTAGGAAAAATAACGCATGCATTAGCATTGTGTATTACTAGTACCTTGTTTGGTACTCTTTTTCCAACCTATGTATAACTAATGCTTGCATTAGTTATACACTCTATTGTGTATTAAGGTGTGTATTGCTAATGCCATGGATTTCTAGGTATTAGCAATGCAATGGTTTTAATGCATGCATTAGAGTAACTAATGACAAAACTACCCTCTAAGCCTAATAAAAATAATAATAATAATATTAATTATTATTATTATTATAATAATAATAATAATAATAATTATAATAAATATAATTATAATAATTATAATAAATATAATAATTATTATTATAATAATAATTATTATAATAATTATTATAATAATTTATTATAATTATTATTATAATTATTATAAGTATTATTATTATAATAAATATAATAAGAATAATTATAATAAGAATAATTATAATAATATTAATTATAATAATAATAATGTGGGGGTATTTTTGTAAACAAATATTTTTTAATAGTCTTTATACAAGGCTTGCTATTTCCAATACATCAAACCAAATAATGTATACAAGAAATAATGCAAGCATTAGTAATGCTTGCATTACTAATGCATGCATTACTAATACATCATATTCAGCATTATTCTTATACACTCTACCAAACGACCCCTTAGTTTCTTTTGTGTTTACCTCTTTATATTTTCAACTCCTTAATAAAATTTACGTTTCCGTCACACTCTAGTGGGCCTCGAGAAAGGGGGGAGGAGACAGAGGGGAAGAACCCGGGATAGAGGGTGGTGGTAGGTTTGGGTAGTAGGATGGCGTGTTAGATGATAGGAAGGAGACAACTGATAAATCACTTGTGAAATTTGTTTTCTCTACTTTGGCTTAGATAATCATCTTTGGTGATTTTCAAAGAATATCTTCCGCTAGAAAAGATACTTCTAAAAACATTTCAACTAACCTAACATGAAAATATTAAAAGAAGAATATTCAAAAATATTTCCCTTTCATACTAAATACATTCTTAGAGTGTAAAATAAGGTTAAAGTAAGTTGGGCAAATTTAAAAATCACACAAAATTTTTATACTAAACCAATGAGTGTTGCCTTGAAACAAAATAAAAGGCACATTGGAGCTACTTCTACATAAGTACTTATTTGTTTAATGTTATTAAGAAAGGAAATTATTGTCACACAACAAAATTCATCATGAATTGAACATTCAGTACGGTTTGAGTTGCAAAAGGGCCGCTTGCTCAAATATTATTTATACAAGGGAAAAGAGTATAATATTCCCGTTAATTTTGTCATTTAGAATTGATATACTCCTCATTATGAAAGTAGTTTATGTATATCTATATTGTTATCCAAATGGCTCACATATACTTTTACCGTTTCAAAAAAAGCTCACATATATGTAGTAAAAATTTATGTGAATCATTTATATAACAATAAGAATATTTATGAGCAACTTTCATAACAAGAGTAAATCTATAAGAAGAAGAAATCTATAAGCAAAAATAAATCTATATTTATGAGATAATATAGACCATTTTCCCTTTATATAAGAAGAAGAAGAAGAAATCTATAGGAAGAAATTTATTTATTTTTTGAAAAGTTCTTCATCGAACTTGTCGAATTCCATCACCTACTTAATAGAAATATTACTCCATCTGTCCCAATTTATAAAACACTTTTCAGATTTCGATATTCAAACAAATCTATCTTTGATCGATAATTTTTTCATTCATCTTTTAATAATTGCGACTTATATTACATTTTATGTAATTTATGCATAAATTCCCAGAGGGAGTAATAATGATATACAGTAATTCAATCTTATTTGTTAAGAAATAATATTAAATTTCAGACAACTTTAAAATCAACACAAATAAGTAGAAGACAGGAGTAGTAACTTATTCTCAAGATGCTAAATAAATAATTAACAGGATCCAGGTGGATTCGAACCACCGTCCTCTCAATTGCATACGCATTGAGCGCTCCTCCAGTGGCCGAGCTCTTGGATCCATCCATTCAGTAATCAATATTTAAACCAAGTTATAATCACCGTCATTCATATATTTTTCAAAATGGAGTCGACCCATTAAAAATTGTAAACAAAATATAAAATATTGTACCACTAAAATATACGATGTGCCTTGAATCCTCATCAACAACGATACAAAGATAATACTGTTATTACCATTTAAAAATTGTGAGACATCGCCCAACTATAATCAAGGTTGCCTAGTATGACAGGTTACCTAGTGAGCATGTTCTGTATATATTAGGTATTTCAAATATTAGGAGCAACACATTTGAAAAGAAAATTGGGTAAAAAAAGGGTTCTCCTACAATTGAACAGTAAAATTCACAAAAATCATACAATTTAAATGATTTTTAGTTAGAATTCTTATGTGGCAAGTCAATGCTTTTGTTTGACTTTCTGGGTGTATGTAGCAAGTGAATCATAAAAGGCGAGTTAAAAGTATAAAATATAGAAAAATAAGCGTTTTATACTATGAAGCTATCTTAACCACATAGCAACAAAAACAAAAACAAAAAACTGAAACCAAAATTACCTACTGGATGTAATATATATGATGGGTTTATAATTTAAATGTCCAAGGGAAAAATGACATTTCCCCTCTTGCACAAGAAAGATTGTGACTAAAAGTGAATTAATTAGTGACACAACTGAATAATAAGCATAATAACCTACAAGTTAACATTAGAGAACACATTACCTCAACAGACGATCCAGTAAGTAATCAAATATATCAGATGACAATATTTCCTTGTGGAAAACCTTCAGTGAAGAGAAATCGTAACTGGCACAATATACATAGCACAACAGCAACTCAAATAAGGCAAAATAATTAGTTGTAACCATACTCCATCACAGATGGCCTGCTTCAAAAATGTACACATAACTTGCACAAATAGATCAAGGACAAAAATAAAATGGGAGACCCCCTCCTTCTGCAGGAAGGACTGATCTTACTTTCTCTGAGAAACAGCATAGAAAATGTACACAGCTTTGGATGACAGTACCAAGATTCACTTATGAACCGAAAATCACAGACAGCCTCAGCAACTCAGCCAAGGAACACTACGAGCTGTCAAGCAAGTTTCCAATAGTCATCCTAACAAACTTGCAAGATGCTAGCTAACCAACCGACATCCTAACAGAACAAAACAGCTGACAATTGGGTTTGCTCACTGTGTATTCCAAGTGAAGATGGTCCAGGTAAAGACATAATATTTGATTTCAGCAGTAGTATGATAGCTAAGCAAACAGGAAATTACAGGTGAGTGTAATCTAGGAAAAGAGTCAAAAAGTACAACATAATAATTGATTTCAGCATGGAGCAGATCCATTGCAGTATAACACGGCAACATCCAGGTCAATCAATGATTACTCGAGGCAAAAAGCTTAAACTCTCCAGCATGCAGAGAGAACCAACCAGCTGAGGAACAACCATCGTACGAAAGTATCTCAAGCCATACAATCACCCTCTAGGATTACAGAACGAGCTCAACAAGAGACTCCATTGAAATCCACTATTATAAATTATTACATCAACCAAAAAAAAATGCGAAGATAGTTCCACTGCCTTTAAATAATAAGTAATTATGTATTGAAATTTTCGCAATGATGATAAATAAATAACAGGCAATCATGTACACAGATTCCTTTTGCATTAGTGATGGATATTGATTAAACTACTGTTGATTTAACAGACTTGACAAAGATATTGAAAATGGATGATTCATCAAGTTATAATCTAGTCTCATTTAATAGACCAATTGATCAGTGGCAGGCTTAAACGATCAAAAAAGGAAGATCAGTATCTCAAACCCGAATTTTCAGATCGTCAAAATTGCAAAACCTCATTTGGAAAACTAGTCAAGTCATTCCAGATATAATTAAGCTACAGATGTTAGTTAATTATTATTCGCAAACAGAGAAATTAACTTATATTTTTGTGAAGTAGATTGACTTAATTTAAACTGTTCCATCATTCAAAATAAATCATTTTGCTATTTCTTTTGTTAAATAAATCAATAATTATAAGTAGACTGAATTAACTCTTATATGTCGTTAACAATATTACTACCTGTAGTCAGAGACAATTAAAGATTTTACGGACTACTATTGGCAAGGCTTATTTACTTATGGAGCGAACATATGCTATGAAAGTTAAGTGTCAAAGTTAGTGAAAGGAATTCATAAGTGTACCTTTGGTAGGAGTGTGGAGCTGAATAATCCTAGAATTCGCCTGTCCGCTGTTGTACTGTTGTATTAAGAGTGCATGATATACCTATCCCTTGAAAAGGTAGCGCTGCTATAACTTGACAGATAACCAAACCATCGTTCGGGGACATTAACGCCAAATTTGATGAGACGATTATCTGAGTAGATCTTGCAGACAATTCTAGAAAACAGAGAAGGGAGGCCAGAGACGAGACACGGAGAGGAAAGTCGGGCAAAAAACCCCGTACCATCTCCCCTCCAAACACAAAAATCGCAACTTTATTAGGTTTTGTGACCTGCCATGCGAGCGCACCCGTCATGGCAAAGGCCGGTAAATAACAATAATAGAACCTCACATTTCCTCTCTTTTCCCTACGGTCTCATTATTTACTCGTACATATGCATGCATATCAATAAAACTAATGCAAATTTTCATAATTAAGCTGAGAATAGACAACAAATTTAACTATGATAACCTTATCTAACAACCTCAAGCTTGCCGATTACCATCCCTCGAGATCTAGCATAAATAGAACACCAGTGATATCCAATTGCACCGAGCTCTACAGAGATACGGTAAAATCACCCGATTGAAACGATGATATCCTGCAGCAATCAGAAACACACAATAGATGTCAATAATCAGAATTAGATCCACAATTGTAGATACATACAGATACAATAAGCATAGCAGCTCACCGACAAAACTATATCCGCGAACAACGAAGCCTCCACCAATTGAAGGTCAAAAAATCATCTCAGGTCACCGAGAACTCTCCTTGAAAAGTTTGAAAACAAACCAACAACGGATCTGAGGTTTATAGCTCTCAATCTCGTAACAAATCCATCAGATCTATCCACTCTTCATCCAGCCAACGGCATCGCCCATGGTCCATGGTCCGAGCAATATTCATACAGACAAAACTCAGAAATGATAGATCGGCAAACGATCTATACATATCTGAATTCATAACCATTTCGCAGGGAATCAATGTCCGATACAAGTCGAAACCATACTCAAACTGTAGATCGGCGAACGATCTACACGGATCTGCGTACCGATTCAGAAGCAGAGAAATGACGATGAGTAGATCTGGAGATGAAAGATGTTCCGGGAAGAGGAGAGAAGATGAAACTGGAATGCGAGTTGATGAAGAAATGATGCGTTGTTTTATAACGGGGTTAGGATGATCGGACGGATGAGATTGAATGAACTGATGGATGATGAACGGTTGAGATGCGTTGACTGTGTCGTAGTGCTAAAGGCTGGCGATGAGTAAATTACGGAAATATCTATGTGGCTGTTGATCGCTGGTTTTTGACTAGGACAGATAATCTTTGTAACGTGTTAAACAACATGCTTCACGCTATTTGTTTTTTCCTTGTTCGATATCTTTATTAAAGTCTAATTAAATTTAGATTTTGTATCGAAAAATCTCGAGTCAAAGAGTAAAATACTTCATATAAAAGTAACTCACTCAAGGAAATTCGAATCCGAAGTCTCAAATTAGAGATAAAAAATAGAAAAAATTACACGGTTAAGCAAACATATACTAGTTAAATCAACTAACATAGGTATAGTTTCCATTAATTACCATTCACGACTTAATTTTAGCTATAATTATGTGTCTCTCTCCTCTCTTGTACATATACAAATAAAAATTGATATGGTTGTACACAATTTATTCATTGATTTAAATTATATTTCGTTAGTATAATTTTCGTTAGTACTATTGTATTCATTGATACATATACAAACTAAGTATATATATACAATCATACAGATATACAAATACAATCATTGATACATATGTATATGAGTTACATATATACAATTATTTGACAGATATACAAATACAATTCGCCTATATCCACTCTCTGCCCTCTCTCGCTCGCCTCTCTCCTCTAACATATAGCAATGAATCGTAATTAGTATGATCTAATCACACATTCACCTCAACATTCTTATTTTCTCTTCTCTTCTCTCATCCTTTGAACGTGTAGAATTTTAATTGGCCAACACTCTAATCCACATAACATATTCGGTCTATTCACTATTTTATAATACTTTTCTTTTAAATTTATTAGCATAAATACTTTATATTTACTGTTCATGATGTTCAGAAAGCACCTCTATCAACAGCTTCTTTCTTTTTCCAATGATTCGAAGCACCTCTAACTTCTAAGCCAATCATTTTAAAAGATTATTTGTGTTAACACAAATCTTTCTCGTAACTATTAATTCATTCACATACATGCAGATCATTAACGATTTTAAATAAGACATTAGTTTATATAGCATGAAGTACATAAACCACATAATTCATAATTCTTAGAATACACGTAAAAGAAGAAGAGATAGTAATCTTATTTTGTTTTTGCCAAAATTTGAATAACTAGCCGTCTTAGCTCAGTGGTAGAGCGCGTGGCTTTTAACCACGTGGTCGTGGGTTCGATCCCCACAGACGGCGAGTAATCTTTATTTTTTAAATGATTTTTCTCTTCTATTAGCATTGATGTTGGTCTTTAATTTGTATCAAGGATTTTTCTTTTGAAAATTGGAACCCGATACCTCTAATAAAGCATCAATTTTTTTTAACGTATATCATACGATTCATCTTTTTCTATTCAATCATTCGATATTTGAAGTACATGAAGTTCGAGAGGAAAAATTATAAGTAACCACCTCACCACGTCACTCATATTCAAATATGGAAATGATATTGGAAAACAAGATGGTTGAAATAAAGTTGTACATCATTTGCTTTGCTTTTCTCAATGCAAGAAAGCAATTGAGATATTTTTTGCTTTTGACGTCCAATATTTCAAATTTAGTGGTTCGACTAATTGAACTCATCGATTCAATTAATCTTAATTCGTGTTGAACAGACTCATCAAAAGACTAATAATATGTTCGTCACTAAGAAATTCCTTATTCCTAATAAAAACTTATAAGTTACAAATAAACGATAATTACTAATTTTTAAATGCAAAAAGGTATAAAGAGAAGTTACATATTGTTTATTTGAAAAATACATTTGATAGCTAAAATAAGATATCAATGACAACATCAATGAGCTGACTTTGCTTTAGACACGCAAGTAAAGTATATGCAAATTGAAATGACAACATTCACAAATAATAAAGTAAAGAATAAAATCAAATTTGTGTAATATTTGCTTGCAGTATAGGTTTTTTTTTTTTATATAGTATAAGTTAAAATAGGATAAAAATTATGAAATTATCTACTTTATATTACTAATAAAATAAAAGATAAGTTGTCACGATATAATTATCTTCTTCAAACTTTAATATTGATAATCACGACAATCCCCAAACTAGAGTATATTCTATGTTTTTTTAAGAATATTAGTATTTTAATGTGTTCAAGCATCATCGTGAATCACGACTATGGAATTAAATTTTTGCTTTGTTTTATTTAAATAGAATATTTTTATTGAAGTAGTTTAAAAGGAAGAAGGATAGAACATAATAGGGACTGCATTTCAAAGTCATAAAAATGAAAAAGCAAATAATATTATAATTTAATTATCTATAGAAGATTGTTTGTCCATCAGTATTTTTATAAATTATTTTATTTCAGGATTAATTATTTTGGATAAATTATTTTATTATGTATATGAAATAATTTATTTTATCACTATGATATAATTGGTGAAATAAATAATCTAAAAGGTCGTTTGGTGTGATGGATAAAGAAAAATAATCTTAGGATAACTTTTTAGTACCCTCAATTCTTTGTTTGGTTACAAAGTGTGGGACAAGTTATCCCAAGATCAATAATTATGGTTGAGATAAGTTATCCCTACCTGTGGGTGGAATACTAATCCCGGAATAACTTATTCCAGGAGAAAAATATATGAAACAACAAAATTACCCTCTTTTATAAACAAACAACTTATTCTTAGAGGATTTTTTTTCGTAAACACACAACATACTTTTAGAAATTATGTCATGCATATTTGATAAACCAAACAAACCAATAAAAAAAAAATTCAACATAATTTATCCCATCATAATTAATTCCAACATAACTTGTCTTCAAACCAATCAACCCCTAAGTACTATCTAATATTAACCTTTAACCAAACCACAAGATAAATATAATCTCTATATTTTATCCCAAAATTATTATACCTTAGCCCTCACGCCAAACGACTCCTAATAGTTGCCAAATTCAAATTTTTAAAAATTTAAACCCAAAGTCACACTAGCAAAGCAATATTATATCAAACAAAATAATCATAATTAATTCTAACATAACTTGTCTTCAAACCAAACGACCCCTAAGTACTATCTAATATCTTTAACCAAACCACAAGATAAAATAATCTCTATATTTTATTCCAAAATTATTATACCTTATCCCTCACGCCAAACGACTCTTAATAGTTACCAAATTCAAATTTTTAAAAATTCAAACCCAAAGTCACACTAGCAAAACAATATTATATCCAAAAAATAATACTCCCTCCGTCCCATTTTATATGATGTACTTTGATTTGACACAAACTTTAAGAAAAATGGAAAGACTTTTAAAACTTGTGGTCCAAAATGAATGATAGAAATTTGTGTGGTTGTAAATCATTTCATTAAGGGTAAAAAAGACATTTTATAGGCAAATTGTTACTTAAAATAGAAATGTATCATTCTTTTTGGGACTGACTAAAAAGGAAAGTAAGTCATATAAATTGGAACAGAGGGAGTAATATAGAGTAGGTAGATCATTTGGCGTGAGAATTAAGAAAACTAGCAAAAGTAAAAGTTGCAGTATCTAAAAAAGTTTGAAATTATTTATACCTTGATAAATTCATATTAGTTTTCACTATTTTTTTTTGAATCGGCAAAAAAAAGATGTTGAAGACATCAGTGAAAGCTCGATATGAGACTGAAGCTGAAAAAGAAGCGGCAACCGGCGGCGCCACTGTAACTTTCAACGCCGGCAACTTTAAGCTCCGTGCTTCTATGACTGATGCTACAGTAATCAACGGTCCCAGCTTAAACGGCTTATCTCTCGCCGTTGAAAAACCTGACTCCTTCATCTTCGACTACAACGTCCCCAAAAATGTGCCGTGAATTTCTTCTCTTCATTTTCATGTTATTTGTTTATTATTATAATTAATTTTGTGCTAAATTTCAGTAGATCTTAGCCGTAAAATCGCCATGCCAGTTATAATTATCGGTGAATCGAAGCAAAAAATAGCTGAATCTGTCCAATTTATATGATACATTTCGAATTTCGAGAGTCAAATAGTATAATTTTGACTGTGCATTTGAGCATGATTTTTTTTTTTTTTTTTTACATATTTGTAAATTATTTAAAAAATATTATAAAACACAATAATTGACCGTCATAAAATCTTAGTCACATAAATTGAGACAAATGGAGTATTTGTTTTTGTGTTTTTGATAACCGTGATGTTTGGATCAACTTTCGGTTTACATTCCACCACCAATAGGTATAGACAGGTAGCTCTGTAAGATGTGAAGAAATTACCTAGTGTTTTTTTCTCCGTTGAGATTTGAACTTGACACCTTATGTTTCTCAATCGATTTTATTGACCAGTAGGCCACACTAACACGTGTATTAGTGTTGATTGAGTGCTCTTTAGGTGTATTTGTTTTTTGTTTGTTAATGGTAATTTACATTGGTTACCAAAAAAACATGTTATATTGAGCGGTTGAACGCTAACACTGGGTATGATTATCTATTTTTCGTGACAACAAGACTACTCTGCCACTTTCACATCAAATTGAACAAAACATGGTTAAAGTAGTTTATTTTTTTGGTCTAATTGAAGCATTTTGAAAATTTGGAATGCTTTTCTTAAGAGGAGGAAGAAAATCCAAAGAGTCCTCTTTTTATTTTTTGTACTATCATTTTTGTACTTGTTTAAAATTAGTATGGACTATTATTTACTATTATTTTTAGAATTTTTGTGATTTCAGGACTTCAAGTTTCAATTTATGAACTCAATTAGCGTTTTGGAGAAGCCATTGAATTTGAAGTACATTCACTCTAGAGGAGAGGACAAAACAACACTGGATGGGACATTGGTGTTTGATTCCGCGAACAAGTTGTCAGTCAGTCATAAGCT